CTGGGCGTGTGCTGGGTGTGTGCTGGGCGTGTGCTGGGTGTGTGCTGAGCGTGTGCTGAACGTGTGCTTGGTGTGTGCTTGACATGTGCTAGAGCGTGTGCTGGGTGTGTGCTGGGCATGCACTGGGCGTGTGCTGGGTGTATGCTGGGCATGCGCTTGACATGTGGCTGGACATGCACTGGGTGTGTACTGGGCATGTGCTTGACATGTGGTGGGCGTGTGCTGGGCGTATACTGGGCATGTGCTGAGCATGTGCTTGTTTGCTGGGCGTGTACTGGGCATGTGTTGGGCGTGTACTGGGCATGCACTGGGCGTGTACTGGGCATGCGCTGGGCGTGTGCTGGGTGTGTGCTGGGAGTGTGCTGAGCACATGCTCAGAAGCTGAAGTAAGACCAATGGTACTTTGGGCTAAGAATCCCAGGCATGGCACATGTCAGATCTTGATGGGTGGGTTCCTACAACTAGTCCCTAACCTTGAGCTCCTTGAGGTTCCATGAGCAGATGAAGACGGGATTTCAGTCCCTGTGGAAGAGCTGGGAGATGTTCATAGTTGGTCATACTTAGGAAATCCCAGTCTTTCTTTTTTTCTTTTTCTTTTTTTTTGTGTTTTGTTTTATTTTTAGAGACAGAGTTTCTCTATGTAACATCCTGGCCATCTTGGAACTCACTCTGTAGACCAGGCTGGCCTTGAACTCACAGAGATCCACCAGTCTCTGCCTTCCGAGTCTTAGGATTAAAGGTCACCACCACCTGGCCCGAAATCCCATTCTTATGCCCACCTAACTCTATTATTTTCTGTTCCTATAACTAGTCTGGGGGCTGATACAGGAGTGGGAGCAGACAACCCATGTTACCGTCATGGCTCATCAATGAATCTGCTATGTGATCTTCAGGTAAACGCATTTCTTTTCTGGATTTCCATTCTTGTGAAAACTGTGAGCTAAACCATGGATTGGCAAACTGTTCTGTGGAATCCTAGGGGTCACATGGATTCTCTGTCCGAAGCATTTGTTCAGACGATCATAATGTCCGAGCTAGCCTTGGGACCTTAGAAGTGAGCATCATAATATCCGAGCTAGCCTCAGGACCTTAGAAGTGAGCACCATAATGTCCGAG